CCCCCGCTCAGCCGCCGCGTCGCTCCCAGGCGCAGGAAGGAAACTCGCGGGGCCGGGGCCGGGCGCGGCTTCCCGTCACTGCGGCCCCCCCCCGCTGCCCCCGCAGCGCCCTCCCCGCAGGGGTGGTCCCAAAGCCCCCGTAGACCCCCACTGCTCAAAGCATCTCTGCGAGCACCTGCAGACCCCCCCCAACCTCAGCCCTATACCCAACACAATCCTAACACCAACCCAATCCCGATGCCAACCCCAACTCCACCCTTAACCCCAACCCCATCCCTAAACACAGCCCTAAACCCAATCCCAACTCCGACCCCAAACTCAACCATACTCCAACCCAATCCCAACCCCGACCTCAACCCTGACCCCAAACCCAGTGCTGACCCCAACATTAACCCCAACCCCAACCCCGACCTCAAACCCAACCCCAACCCTCACCTTAACTCCAACCCCAGTGCCACTGCTTCTTCAACCCGACCCCAACCAACCCCAACCCCAACCCTGACCCCAAACCCACCCTTAACCCCAATCCCGACCCTGACCTCAAACACAATCCAACCCCAACCCTACCCTCACCTTAACTCCAAACCCAGTACCACTGCAACCCCATGCCAACCCAACCCTTAATCCAACCCCAGTCCAGACCCCAACCTAACCCTAATACCGACCTTGACTGCACCTTGATCCCAGTGCCAACCCCAGCACAGTTCCAACACCAAATCCAACACAAACCCAACCCCAACCCCGACCCCGACCCCAGGCCTGACCCCATCCTCAACTCCAACTCCAACCCTGACCCCTAACCCAACCTTAACCCTAATCTCAACCCTGACCCTGACCTTGACTCCAACCCAATCCCAGTCCTAATCCCAATCCCGATCCCAACCCCAGCCCCAACTTCACCCCTTCCCCATGCAGGGTCGCCTCACGATGCCCCAGCACCAAATCCAACACAAACCCTCAGCCCTGACCTCAACTCTGACCCCAGCCCCAACTCAGAACCCAACCCCGACCCCAGCCCCAACTTCACCCCTTCCCCACGCAGGGTCGCCTCACGGTGCCCCGCAGGCTGCGGGGAGGGGGGGGCCGGGATCCGCCTGGCAGCGTCAATGGCAGGAACTGGGTGGGGGCCCACGGGGGGGGGCCCTCCGGATGTCCTCCCCGCGGGGGGCACCGGGACCACCGCCCGCAGCTCTGCCGGGCCCCGCGGCGGCCGCGCTCTGGAGGCTCCGTCCCCGCTCCCGGAGGTCCCGCACCCCCAGCGCTCGTCCCGCGTGGGGCGGCCGGTCCCGACTCCCCCCGCAGCGCCGGAGGAAGCGGCCGCTCCCGCAGCTCCATGGGGAACCTGCCGGCCGTGCTGCCCGGCGCTGCGCGCTCCTGCGGGCTCTGCTCCCGGCAGCTCAGCCCCGCGCCCGAGGACGGCTCCGGCCCCGATAAGGGCAGGTGGGTGCCATGAAGGGGGGGTCGGAGGGTCCCTGGGTGCGGGTGGAGGGTGCACTGTGGCTCACTGGGACATCCAGATGAGGAGGGGCGCCCTCGAAGCCCACCAGAGAGGTGCCCCCCACGGGCGCGGGGACCCACGGATCCCTATCCCAGAGGAGCCCCATTCCCACCGAGACGTGACCCCATGGAGCCCCATCTCACCGAACCCCGTCCCTGTGGAGCCCCGTGTGGCCCCACCAGGGATGTGCCCCCATTGGAACTCTGTCCCCATTGGAGCCCTGTCCCCACAGAGCCGCATCTCTACCAAAGCCTTGTGCCCACTGGAGAGGTGCCCCCCCAGAGCCCCATCCCCATAGATCCCCACCCCCATGGATCCACGTCCCCATGGATCCCCACCCATATGGATCCCTCACCCCCCATGGATCCTCCTCGCCATAGATCCCCCCCCCATGGATGCCCACCGCCACCAGAGCCATGTCCGCAGTGGGGTGCAGTGTCAGCTTGGGGGGGGCAGGATGTGGGGCACAGCCACAGGTTCCCTGCCCAGAGGGGGGGCCTCTGCCCCTTCTCTACTGCCTCCATCCTTACTGCCCCCATCATATAGCCCCCACCCTATACCCCCCCCCGCCCTTACTCAGCACCAGGCTGGTGTCCCAGCCCTACGGTGAGCACAGCAGTGGCCCCCCCCACCCCCACTTCAGCCTTCTGAAGCCCACCAGGACCCATTGGGGTGGACGGAATGTGTGGGGCTGAACTGGGATGAGGGACACGGCCTCACTGTGGGGACGGGGCAGCACGGGCTGTGGGGGTGGGGGGCAGGATGGGTTAACCCCTTCGGGCGGGGGGGGCGCTCTGACTCACGCTATTGTTCACGCTTGCACGCATGCACGAGGCCGAGGCACACCCTGAGCCTGTGCCGGGCCCCCACCCAGGGCTATGGGGTCCGGACCCCCCAGGGCAGGGAAGCACTGAGGGGAGAGACCCCCGCTGCCCCCAGCGCTGCCCCCATTGCCCCCAGCAGTACCCCATAGCCCCCATTGCCCACCCGCTTCCCCCCATGGAATCTGGGATTTGGGGGCCGGATTCCCCCCGAGTGCCGTAGCCCCATGGGGAGGGGTCCCCCATCTCAGTGCTCCCCACCCCCCAGCCCGGTGCCCCCCCGGCACGCAGAGCCCACGCGCTTCGCCCGCCTGAAGAACTGGGAGACGGGGAGCATCGCCTACGACACGCTGTGCGCCCAGGCCGAGCAGGTGGGGCCGGGGACGGTGGGTGTGGGGCACCCCATAGGGCTGGGTGTGGGGCGCCCCACAGATGCCAGCCCCACGGATGTCCACAGGAGGTTCCGTGCTCGGCGCGCCGCTGCCTGGGCTCCCTGGTGCTGCCCAAGCAGCTGCCCGTGCCCGGCGCTGAGGGCGGCCGCAGCGGTGCTGAGCTGCTGGCTCTGGCACGGGACTTCATCGACCAATACTATGCGTCTATCCGGCGGTGAGTGCCGCCCTCCTGCCCCACTGCGCCCCATAGCGCTGCCCCACGGCGCTGTCCCGGCCCGGCACCGCAGCATCCCATCGCCCTGACCCTATCGCTGCCCAACCCCGACACCCTAAGTGCCCCCACCCCTCCTCCCGTAGCCCTGTCCCCGTTCTGCCGCACAGCACCCCACAGCCCTGCACAGAAGAATCACACAGTGCTGTCCCATTCTGTCCCAAATCTTCATCCCCGTCCCTGCCCCACAGTGCCCCACAGAGCTGCCTTCATCCCTACCGTGTGTCAACCCCCATCCTCATCCCCATTCCTT